CCCACTGCGCCTCTCTGAGCACCGGGCGGCCGCCGCCCCGGGCTCACCCCTCTGAGCCGGGCCAGTGCGCGCTGGTCTCAGGTCGGGGTGGAGGCCGCGGCCGGCCTGGCCTCGCTTGTGCACAGCGAGGGGCTTCCGCGCTCCGGCCGCGTCCACCTGCGAGCCCTCCCAGGTGGCTCGGGCGAGCGTGGGCCTAGTTGGTGTCGGGCTGCACCTGCGGCGCCCGAGTGGGGCCGGATCCTCGTGTCCAGCGGGCCCGCGTGGACCGCCAGCAGTGTGTGGCCAGCCCAGCGGGGCGCAGGCGGCCAGCGGCCAGCTGAGGGTGTCCAGCCTGGGCTCCTCAACGCAGGGTCCCGAGGCGGCGGGACTCGGGCTGCCTCGTTGGCCGGCCGGCCCCTTGTCCAGCGTTTGCTGTTGGGGTCTGGCCACCCGGCTGTTGGCCGGAGCTGCCGGCTGCCAGGAGACGCTCCTGGTGGGAGAGGGGACCCAGCGGCGTGTGGGCATTTCCAGGTTCTTGGGCCCCGGGCTTTCTGGCCTTCTAACGCCGTCGTGAATGTGGGACAGTGAAAGCTATGGAGAGCCGTTTTGCTGCCACCTGTGTGCCCAGGAGCTTAGTAAGCGGCTGGAGCCTCTTGGCTGCTCGGCCCCTGGGAGTGGGTAGGTCCTAGGAGCTGTCTCTGCTGTGAGTTGGGTGAAGCCTGATGTGGGCCAGCCTGCAGTGGCTCTAAGGTTGTCTGTGGTCCTGCCTAGGTCTGACTCTTCAACGCGTTAGCTGCAGGATCTGGTGGGCTCTGCTGTGGGGCCTGTGGCAGGTTGTAATGTCAGCGTGCGGTCGCCTGGACCAGGAACCTAACTGATATATTTGCTCTCTTCCAGACCAAGTACACGCTGATTGATGAGCAGGACATCCCACTGGTGGAGAGCTACTCCTTTGAGGTGAGGGTGCAGGGTGCTGCATCTCTGGAACATGCAGTGGGCCACTGCTTCTAACTCTGGTGTCAGCAGAGTGAAGGTCATCATCATCAACTCCACATGACCACATGCAGCTCCCGCCAGCCAGTGATCCAGGCCTCTCTATATGTCTGATCTGGTTATCAGTTCTCTTCTGAAAATCTAAACTTGCTAAAGTTCCCGAGACTTTCCAAACTCCCTCTTTGGTCCTCCTGTCTCAGTCTCTCTCTGCTGCTCTGGGCAGTGCTGTGGGCTCCTCATTTTTCGCCCATCATCCTGCTCTCAGACTTCTGCACGCCTTGAGGGCAGGGATGTCTTTTTTTTTTTTTAACTTTTAGTAAATTTTTTTTTCTTCATTTTTTGTTTTATTTCATTATTTTTTGTGTGTACCATCAAATCAGATCTGACTGGTACAGGAGGAGATTGTTCCTCCTTCTCCAGCAGAGCATCTGATGGATTCGAACCGTGTTCCTCTGAGATTGCAGTGCAGCTTCTTGCCACTAGGCCACCAGAGCTCACCAAGGGATGTCTTGAACCATGCTCTGTTCACAGTGCTTTGCATAGTCATTGGCCTGTTTGCTGTGGTATAAAAGCATAGTGGCCAGGTGGAGGCCTTGGGGCTGGCTGTGGCCCAAACAACTTGTGTGTTGCACCTTCTTTTCCCAGGAGGAGTAAGTGTGCCTAAGAACCAGAAGTGATCTAACTGTTCTCTCCCGTTCCTCCTCAGGCCCGCATGGAAGTAGATGCTGATGGAAATGGTGCCAAGATATTTGCATATGCCTTTGACAAGAACCGAGGTCGGGGCTCAGGAAGGCTGCTACATGAGCTGCTGTGGTGGGTACTTCAGGGGCATTGTGGCTGTCAGTCCAGTGGCTGTCCTTGTCCCTCCCCTCCAGCCTCATGGGCCAGGCAGGCATGACATTTGCCACTTCTGAGCATCTTTCTCTGTCGCAAGTTGGAGTGAGTGTACACACCTTGCGGGGTATAGCCCAAGGCTCCCCGTTCCCAGGAACTCACTGTGTGGCTTGGAATTGGAGCAGGTGTAGCCTCTGCTGAGGGGGTGCAGTGGACCATTCTGTACTTGGTCTCTGCAGTCTGATTCTTAATTCCATTAGGTGGATGGCCTTTTTTCTTTGCTTCATCTGGCCCAGCCCTGCCCTGGCATACCCCCTGATGGGATGGGAAGGCCAGTTCAGATCCTTTAGCTGGGTTTCATTCTGGTGGGATGTTACAATTAGCCAAGAATATCTGTGAGGTAAATTCACATGTTGGAGTATTATTTGCTCTAAAAAAGAAACTTGATGCAGGGAGCTCTTTGGTGGTTTAGTGGGTGTGAAGTTGTACTGCCAATCCAAAGGCTCATGGTTTAAATCTACTAGCTGCTCTGCAGAATAAATATAGGCAGTCTCCCTTTGTGCGATATACAGCCTCTGAAAACCCACTGTTGCCTCAGCTGTGAGTTGGTTCCAATTCAATGGCAATGAATTTAGGTTTCTTTTTTTAAGCCTCAGCACTTGCTACAATGTGGCTGAACTTTGAGAAGCTATGCAGAGAGTATCAAGTCAGTCTTGGGAGGAGAGAGGGCATCTTGTCTGCAGCCTCACTAGAATAGGTGGCAGACCAGAACTTGTGAGTGATTGCAAAGAGAGGATAGAATGAACTTTAGAGTATCTGCAGTTTGGTCAAGATCCTAAGAAGTTCAGAGCCTGGTGATGGGGCTGTGCCTCATGGGGAATGTGGTCCACATCTTTCGTGAGTTAGGTGTGCAGAAATAGTGGAAGGGAAAGCGCTCTAGTAGAGGTGTGTTTAGCGAGCACAGAAAAACGTATTTGGGGGTCTTGGGGCTCCTTTTGAGACTCTCTGTCCTTAGGGAGCGGCACAGGGGTGGTGTGGCGCCCGGCTTCCAGGTGGTGCATCTCAACGCTGTGACAGTGGATAACCGACTGGACAACCTGCAGCTGGTGCCCTTAGGCTGGCGCCCAAAGGCCGAGGAGCTGTCCAGCAAGCAGAGGTGGGTGCTGTGAAGCCTTACCCTCAAGGACCTGGTACCGAGCCATTTTCTGCTGTCTGTTGGGGAAGGGATGTCAGTGACCATTGCCAGGAGCTTCCTGTGAGCTTGTGCTAAGTGAGGGCACCTGGCTGCACTCCTCTAGGACTGGTGAGACCCGGGTCTCTTGGACTCCACCTGCTGTATCCTGGGAGCTGCCTGTGCGACTGTGCGACTCTCTGGGGCTGGGGCTTTGTTTTCAGCAGCAGCTACAAAGCTGTGCCTGGTACAGCCCACTCCGCCTTGGAGTGCCCCCAGACCACAGGTGCAGGGACTTCCTGGCACAGCCTACCCCACCTTGAAGGGCCCCCAGACTCCAAGTGCAAGGACTGCCTGGCACAACCCCCTTGTAGGGTCCTCAGACCCTCCAGATGCAGGGGCTCTGTAAAGCACAGCCCTTCTCAGATCCTCGAACGCCATAAGGATCCTGTAGAGCTCTGGGAAGGGATATTGACCTGCCAGGGCCCAAATTAGGGTGACCCTAACCTGCCATCGTCTGCTGCTCTTGGTGGGCCATGAGTCTTCATGCATGTGCCTGACCTTGAAAGAAGCCTTTCCTGTTTCTGGAGAACTGATCCTTGGAAGGACTGCAGCCAATGCTGTGGGCCCTCTGGTCCCTGTCCTGTGGCTGGGGACAGTCACCCCCTCGGTGCAGCCTGTCACACTGGCAAACCACCAGTGCTACCCTATTCTGTGAGGATCCTGCTTCGCCCTGGGCTTTGGGTGGGTTAAGGTGGGGCCCGGCCCTCCTCAATTCCTGCTTTTGTTGCCTGGTCCTAATAGCGCTTGACCTGAAAGCCCACTCACACAGCTCTTGAGTAGAGTTGCCTCAGTCAAGGGAAGTGTGTGTGCTGTTTAGCTGCAGGTGACCTGAGCTGAATTGGGTATGGCAGAAGCAGGCCATGGGCATTACCTGCTCTTACGACTGAAGCATGGAGTGCTGCCCCTCACTGCCAGTGGTCTTGGTGGGCCCAGAGGCAGAGGTTATGGGCCTTGTGCATGCTGACAGATCTTGAGACAACTTTGGCTTTACCATCTTGAGTCAGTTGGGGGTCTCATCACAGGACGTGGGTACGTGTCTGCCCACTTGTTAGCTCTGGACACTCCCAAGAGGCCTAGGATGCCCCCTCTCAGATGTGCAGTGACCTGGCTATCTCAGGAGTCAATGTTGGGTCTTAAGACCTTGGCTGCAAAAGTGCAGATAGGCCTGTAGGCTCCCACATCCCAGGGGCCTCAACACTCAGCTCGCTTAAGTGCCTCGTTTCAGTCCCTTAGGGTGGCAGCTTAATCAGCTCATCTGTCCCAGCCTCCATGGTCCTTGCACACTGTGCCATCAACTAGCACTGGTCACCTTGCAGCCTGTTCTGTTCTGGGCCCCTCACTATGCCCCTCTGTAGGGCCCCACTCCATAGTCCTCTGCAGTCCTGTGTCCCATGCCCCTTTGCAGCTCCCCCCACGCCCGCTGCAGCGCCCCCACACCCCCTACAGCTCACTCCACACTCCTCTGTATACTTACCCCCCCCCCGTGAACAGCCCTCTGTCCCCCCACACACCCTTCTGTGCCCCTCATCCCATTTTCCTGTCCTCTTATTTCTCTCAGTAGCCCCCTCCTGCCTCCACACCATCGTATACAGGGCAGCTCAAACCCAAGGGGCCATGGTGCCATCAGGGTGGGGCTGGGAGGCCAGCAGCCTATTGGGCCACATGCCACTGGCCAGGATGGCTGCTCCTCATCAGCTTACACTGCGTTCTTGTTCCACTTGCCACCTGCCTGGTATTTGGGGGCACCCCCCTATATGCCTGCCTGTCCCAGGATAGCCCTGTGAGCAAGGGGGCCGGTCCTTGTTCTGGATCCACTTACAGGGCCTCTGTAAGCAGACTGATGCCACTAGGGACTGATGCTGGAAGGGTGGGCACGGTCAGCTTTGGGTCTGGTGCTAGAGGGGTCTCTTCCTTGCAGGGAGCAGAGCTTATACTGGCTAGCAATCCAGCAGCTCCCCACAGACCCTATCGAGGAGCAGTTCCCTGTCCTGAATGTCACCCGGTACTACAATGCCAATGGGGATGTGGTGGAGGAGGAGGACAATTCTTGCACCTACTACGAGTGTCACTACCCTCCCTGCACCATGATCGAGAAGCAGGTATGTCTTCAGATTGGCCTGAGGAGGCTCGGGAGTGGGGTGTGGCCTCTGCCCGGCTGTGACCACCTCACTATGTCCTGCAGCTCCGGGAGTTCAACATCTGTGGGCGGTGCCAGGTGGCACGCTACTGTGGCTCACAGTGCCAGCAGAAGGACTGGCCCGCCCACAAGAAGCACTGCCGTGAGAAGAAGCGCCCCTGCCCGCATGAGCTGGGCCCCGAGCGGTGACCGGCCCACTGGCATGGTGGACACACTGGCGTGGAGCCTGGTAATGCTGTGTAGCTGGTGATGCAGCCGCGCCCATGGAGACCTGCTCGGCTGGGCCCGTGTTTGGCCTCTAGTGCTGCCCTCACAGGGCCAGCGAGGACCGCCAGGACGTTCATTATTTATATGTTAATATGTTTGTAAACTCCTGTACAGTTTTTTGGGGGGGGAGGCAGTGGGAGGGTTAGAAGTCACACTTGGAGTTGTTTGCTGTGATGGACCCCAGTGCCCGAAGCCAGCAGCAAGCAGAGGGAGGAGCCTGCATGGGAGTCTGTTTACAAGCCAAGTAAAGGGCGAGTCACTGAGTCTCGGCCCTGACTGCTGTCCTCCGCACCCCAAGCTGTCAAAGCTTCATTGAGGGTTGTATGGGGAGGGGGCGGCGGCCTGAGTGTCTCATGTCTTGCGGAGCAGGGTCCTTAATTGCGGATGGTTGTGCAGGTGATTGCTGGCGGTTAGTGGACAAGGAGCATTCTAGACCACAACACTTGCATAGTTTCACCTTGATTTTCAGCTGGGAACCTGTTTACTGATTTGCCGAGGCACTTGCCGTGACAGGGCCCTGCACTGCCCATCCAGGAGATGGGAGCCTGGCTGCTTTGACTGCCTGGACTGTCCATGTAGATCCTGTCCCTAGGCCTTGTCCTGTCCTTCGCCTGTGTCCTGCTTGTGTCTGAGCTGGGCCGCCCCTGGGCAGTGTGTCCTAGAGGTGAGGCCTGGAAGAATTAGCAGCACTGCACACCCACACAGTTCTGTCCTTTGCTACCAGAATCTTCAGGTGGGGATCAGGAACGTTTCTAGCTAGGTGGGCTGTTCTGCGCTGAGATGACTGGAGTCCCCAAGAAAGGGTTGAGGCCATGCTGAGTCCCTGTCATGCCCCAGAGTGTGTCCTCTAAACTATTACTGGCCTGTGGGAGCTGTGGTCTCTGCCCCTCACTGTTGGGGAACTCACAGATCTAACTGGCAGGAGAGTGTGGCCAGGCCATCCCCTCAAACCCTGTGGGAGTCAGGAGGGCCTTGTTGTTGGTTCTGCCTTCAACACTGTGTGCCAGGGAGTCCTGGTCAGCTACATTGCTGTAGGTGGCCATCCCACACCTCTGGCGCTTGGCTTCCTCTCCCTCTCTCTGGGTCCTTGTGGCCCCAGGTCAGGCCCTTGTGTCTTTGGTCTGCTGGGCATGTGGACTCTGTCCAGCGTTTGGGCAGCTGAGGCAGTTCAGGGTTAGTTGTAACCTGCCCTATTGGTTTCTTGACCAGCCTTGCTGTGTGTGGAGCCCTGTCCTCAGGTGTCCAGATGAGGCCTCCCCACACTTGTCTGTCAAGTATATTCCCCTTTGGATGGGCATCAGCTGCACTCCAGGTCAGAGATTGGGTAGTCTTGCATAGGTCCTCTGATACACACTCAGCCCACTTTTAGGCGGTGCCATTGTTGGAGCTGTGACATGGTGACCCCAGTGAACAGATCTGAAGGTGCTCCACCCCAGACCTCACGATCTGTCATGCTCGAGGGCAGTCACTCAGTCCAACTTGTTGGAGATCTTCCTATCTTTTTACTGAGCTTCCTTTTTCAGCATGATGTCCTTTTATAAGGATTGGGCCGTTTTGCCAATGTGCCCAATGTGTATGAAATGAAGTTTGACCGTCCTTGCCTCTTAGGAATACCAGTAGATGTCCATTTGGCAGGCTGTGATCGATTCAGTACTGTTGTCTGGCACCACAATTCAAAGCCATTGGTTTTTCTGTCATTTTTATTCATTGTTAAACTTTAAGATGCAGTTGAAAATATGGCTTGGACTTTAGCCTTTAAATTGACAACGTTCTTGAGCACTTTGGAGGGGTCCCTGACAGCACCTTTCCCCAGGGCAGTACAGCCTTTGGGTGTTTATTTCACCTGGGCTCCCCGACCTTGCTTCGGGGCTCAGACCCTTCTGGAAGCTCACCTGCATCATAGGTGGGCTCAGTGCCGGCACATTTTGCCGCGCGGCAGGCAGCCTAACACAAACTGCGCAGGAGGTGGGACTCGCCCGGGCCCTGCCAAACCTGGAGGACCCCCACCGTCCCCTCCATGCTTGAGGGTGTGGAGCCGAGAGTGACAGGTGGGAGGTGGTGCTACAGCTGGCGGCAGGTCCCTCCTCTCGGAAGCTGGTCGGAAGTCCCGCCTGCGCCCCGGAAGGAATCGGGAAACTAGAGGAAGTGGCTGGAGTGGGCTTTCTTGCGCCTCTCGCCGCCGGTGGTTCCCATCCTGGTCCGCCCGCTCTCCGTCATGGCTGCACCCCGGCCACGCTGCCCCGGGCATGCCGCCTCGTTTGGTTGCCAGGTCGTTGATTCGGCAGCCGAAAGCTCTGGGCACAACCAGCTACTGCAGACAGTGGACACCGGATTCACCGCGGACTCAGTGGAGTGGTGCCCGCTGGACGGCCGCAGACACCTGCTTGCGTGCGGCACCTACCAGCTGCGGAAGCCGGAAGAGAGCAAGGTGTGGGGTCCACACGAGGTGGGGTATTCCTCTGGAGCGCCTCGTGCTGGAACCTTGGGGTCCCCTGCAGTGGGGGGGTGGATCCTCTGACCCAGCACCAAGCCTCGGGGCACCACGGAACTGCCCCTGTCGCGCGTCGGGGGCGTCTGCAGGGAGTAGGCGGTTCGCTCTTGTGCCCGGTGCTCTCCCAGTGACCATGCCATAGTCAGGGTCTTCTTGGGAACCTGCCCCCGAAGCACGTTGATGCTGCCCACCCGGCCTCTGCTGGAGGCTGGAAGAGGAAAGGTTCTGTTGGTGAAGCAAGGCCAGAGGTGAATGTTGCTAGAACTGAGCTCAGGAGCAGGGCTATCCTGAGGGCTAAAATCCAAGTCTGCTGCACAGAGAGCGGGTGCCCTCAGAGGTGTACCACAGCCCTTTCAGGGCTTATAAAGCTCAAAGCTGGGGACTCTTGAGTGGACACAGGTCACAGGCTGAAAGCAAGATCCTCCCAGGCAGACCGAGGACTGTGACCACAAGGCTTCTTGTTGGCAGGTTTAGAAGCAACATTCAGTGCTGAGGGTGGTAGAGCTTGTCCACTCATTGCGGGTATGTCAGTAGAGCACTGTCCACCAGGAAGTCAGGACCTCTGCCTCCAGGTCACACTCTGCCCAGCTGGATTCTTGCCAAGCCTTTGCTTTTCCTCAATTCTTCGGTTTGTCAGCATCTACTGGGGAGACCTGGAGGCATTTGGGCTGCTAACCTGAAGGCTGGTAGTTAAATCTACCAGCTGATTTTCTGAAGAAGGATGAGGCAGTTTCTTCCTGTTGAGATACACAACTTTAGAAACCAGTAGCTCACTCTGAGTTGGAATCAAAGACAGTGGACTCATAGGAGTAATCAGAATGTATCTTTTATCCTTGAAGCATGGTGTGGACTTGGATGGGAAGTCTCCACTTCGCCTTGGCCGTGTCTACCTGTACAGCCTCAGTGAGGACCTTGCTTCTCCCCTGGTTGAAGTCCAGAGAAGGGACATGGCTGCGATCCTGGACATGAAATGGTGGGAATTTGGTAAAAACTGCCCTTGCTTTGCCACCTGCCATTAGGATTTAGCTGTTCACCCCAGCACAGAACTGAATAGAGGGGGACACACCTGTGCCTAGGCTCTTTTCCTCACTGGTTGGGCTTGGGGTAGTTCGGTCTTGGGGGGGGGGCGGGGGGAAATCCCCTTGTTGGCAGTCTCCAGGCCCTAGAGTCAGGGTCAGTCTGTGAAGCAGTGGCCATATCTGGCTTCACAAGCTGAGCAACCCGTTTGGGAACAGATTTGTAGATTTAACCAGTGTTGGGGCTAAAATTTCAGGATAAATTGCTGTGATGTTGTGCCCAGGCACATCTTGTCTTGTGACCAGTACCAGTTTCTTTGCAGGTGCCATGTTCCAGTGGCCGGCCACACCCTCTTGGGCCTGGCAGATGCTAGTGGATCCATACAGCTGCTCCATTTGGTGGGCTCTGAGGTCTGTGACTGGGCTAGAGTCTGTGACTGGTGGGAGGCATGCACAGAAGCTGTGCTGGGAATGTTTTCTAGTAGTTTTTTTATAGTGGTGAATTTCATCCTAAAATATTCTGAGGCAGCATGGAGTATATTCCAAATGCCTTTGGGTTCAGCATCTCATAGCAACGATGGCCATGGAAGTCCTGCCTGGCAGGGCAGCCTGAGTGGGTGATGTCTGCTGTGAACACAGTAGACCTGTGGGCTTTTCTGAAATGTCTGTTAGGGATCCTGTACCAGGAGACTGTAAAGTGGCTAAATCCAATTCTTGGGAATATGTTGGAAGACTGCCCCTCAACCCCACCAGTGCCTAAAATGTCTCTGAAACATGAGTCTTGAGCCCTTGCAGTACACAGTGTCACGTGGCTGGACAAGAGTCAGTAGGATCAGCACCGTTGTCCTCCCAGAGGTTGGTTTTCGTAACTGAGGCGTTTAAAAACAGACAAAAGGTGCATCTGGGGCAGGCCTTCAAGCTTCTCTTGGGCCTTTGCTGTACGTTTCAGTTCTCTGCTGCTGCTCTGTATTTTTAGGGGGAAACTTTGAGAAACATGGAAAAAAACCCAAAACTCCAACAACTGAGAAATAGTCTTAGAGGAATGGAAAAAAGTGACGTTCTCTCTTGATAGATGGTGCCATCTTGTTGTGGGCAGACATTCTTCACTTTGTCCTCGGAAGGTGGCCAGGAGGGAGAGGCTGTCCAGGGAAGCTCCACCGCTCTGGGCCAGTGTTCTGAGTCAGGTGACAGTCCTGGAAGTAAAGGGCAGTGTGTGCCTTTTGTCACACTTGAGATCTTACATGGAAGTGGAAGCCTTCTAGGAGCCCCCTCAGATGGGACAGCCAGCTAAGCTGTGGTCTTCTTCATACTCAGAGACTCTCTAAAACTGGATCAACAGATCTCAAGACAGCAGACCCCAGACCATGGCTTGGTAGGAGCAGGGAGAGCTGATGGTACAGCTGCTGGGAGTCTGTACCAGTGCATCTGGCCCTGGCACGTCCTGTCTCACACATACCGAAACATGCATGTCTTAGGAAAGAACAGTAGCATCTAATCAGATACAGAGAACTCCTGCCATTTTATCTACAGGGAGACACTAATGCTGCCAGCCAGGAGAAGCTAGGTTCCTCAGAGGCCCAGCAGCATGAGCCAGCTGTCCACCCCACCGCATGGACCATTACCCCGTCCCGTGGAGGTCAGGAAGATGGACCAGCTCGCCGTCCCTTTCCCCCTGCATAGACCACTACCTCATCCTGTGGTCCAGCGTGGACCAGCTGTCATTGCCTGGAGGCTCAAATGTGAACCTGTGCTTTCCTGGCAGGCAGGCAGGGGTGGGAGGTGTCAAATGTGTACCACCAGTGGTCCTCAGAGCCCGTCTGGCCTCAGCAGTGCTGGCAAGTGGCTGCCAAGGTCAGGTATGAGATAGGCCTACATGTGTGCTTGTGGATTTTACTCACTGGGAGTCGCCGCTTGTGTGGGAGGTGTCCTGACTCCTCTTTCTTCCCAGAAGAGCGTCTACTCACTGCAGCCCTTCTGCAGCCTCACCCTGGAGGAGCAGAGCCTGGCCTTGTCCCTGGACTGGTCCAGTAGGAAGAGTACAAGGTAGAGGGGAGGTGGAGATGGGGGAGGCATCTCTGAGCATCCACTCTCATTTTCAGGCCAGAGATAGTGAAGGTTGTCCCAAGTAAATCTTGTATGTTCCCCTACTTGGGAGTATTGCTGTCAGGCCTGAGCGAAGAGGGAGATATTCTAGCTGTCCATATTGATGATGTTTTCCTTAGAGAAATTGCTATTTTATGTCTTTGCCAGATGCCCAGGCAAGTCTTTTAAGGGTCCATGTGTTCCTGGACATAATTCATCAGACCCTCTGCCATGTCTTGAGGGTGTGGTATCTTGGGTAGGGACCGAAAAGTGGTTAAGAGTTTGGGGCTGAGGTTTCCCATTGCCTCTTCATGTCTAGGGCCAGCGGCCAGCCTGTGAACATCATTTGCAGTGATTCTCGGGGTCAACTCCATCTGCTGGCAGTGGGCGAGGCCGAGCCAGGGCTGCAGGCACTGGGCACCTGGCAGGCCCACCAGTTCGAGGCCTGGGTTGCAGCTTTTGACTGCTGGCACACGGAGACTGTATACTCAGGTGGGCAATGTTCGGTGCTGGCACCCTGGGGCCTTGGTGGAGCAGCATGCCCGGCGTGGAGTCTAGGGAGACCCCTTGTTGAGCTTGTGTTCTGGACCTTCCCATCAGTGGCCAGTGCACTGTTAGCCTTCTCCTTTCCCTCTGATTTTGGTGAAATAACTTTCTTGAGAAATTATTTTAATGTACATTTGACACCAAAGGCTTGGCTTCTTTGTTGTTCTTCTTCCTTGTTGAGTACCATTTAATTGGATCTGACTGGAACAGGAAATAGCCCCTCTTTCTCCACCATAGCATTGGGATTGCAGCGCAGCTTCTTGCCACTAAGTCACCAGAGCTCCCTGGCTTATTAGTATTTTTAATGCTAAGGTTTTGGGGTTCCCCCCCCCCTTTGTCTTCTTTATTCTATCAGGTTCCGTTTTCCTGAGGTAAGTGATAATATACTTTTGCTAATTTTTGCCTAAAGGACACTTTACTCTAGGTGGTTTTAGCAAGTGGCACCCTGGTGGCAGGGCCTACTATGTATGCTAACCAAAAAGCCAGAGTCTCCATTGATTCAAATTCACCAGTGGCTCCAAGGGAGAAAAATGGGAAGTTCCCTCCCATTAAGAGCTTATCGTTTACAGTGGAGGGTTGCTGAGTCAGAATCCATTCAGTGACAGCAGGTTGGGTTTTAGCTTTTCCTAACTTTCTAGTGTTATTTTTTCTTGCATTATGTCTAATATTGTCCCACGCCTGGGATTAGAAAGTTGTGATAGGTGGACAGTGGATGGGAAGGTGGTGAACCGGGTGATGATGGGATGGAGGAATGGAAGCGGACAGCGGTGGAGGAGGATGGAGGGTGAATGAACAGTTGGCAGCAATGGTGGGCTGACTGGCGTGGATGGGAGGGGGATGGAGAATGGATGGAGGGGGTAAGAGGAATGGCAGATGGATGCTGGGGGGCAGGGTTCAAGGAGGGTAGAGCAGGAAGGGTAGAATGGAGGACAGGTGGATGAGATGGGGGATGGATGGTGGGGGATGGGGACGGACGGTAGGACTGGGGTGGGTGAGGGGACAGTGACTTGGGGGGTGGATGGGAGATACACGAGGGGGATGGAAATGGATGGTGGGGGGATGGATGGAGAGGGAATGAGGGACAGAGGTGGATGGAGGAGTAGCCATGCTTTTCTCTTTTGTTCTCCCTCCCTGTGGGCCCACATCTTTGATGGCTTCCTCTTCTCCCTTCAGAATGCCACTTCCCCCCTAAGTCTTGGGTTTCTCTTTCCTATCCTTTCATGTTCCTCAAACAAGCACAAAAGTCCTTTTCACTGTCAAGCTACACAGGGTGTTTCCCTTTAAGATACACAGGGTATGCTGAAATATCTGGAACCATGTCCTGAGGCAGCACTGGGCACAGTACCTCTGTTCCTGGAGCCAGGCTGACTGCCCGCGGCCTAGGATGGCCGGACTTTCCACCGGCACCTCTGCCTGGCAGGCCTCTCTTGGGCACAGCAGCTGTGGTTAGGGGTGTTTTAGTGCTTTCCTGCTGGGAGGCAGACTGAAGATACCCAGCTACCCAAGGGGACCCCCTAAAAATGCTGGCATTGTTGATGGGCTGTTGTCTGCGCAGGTGGCGATGATGGGCTCCTGAAAGGCTGGGACATTAGGACGCAGTGCCGCTCGCCTCTGTTCACCAGTGAGAGGTAAGTGAGGGCCAGTGGGGCGGCAACCCTCGGCCTGGGCCTCACTGACAGTGTACCCCCACCCCCAGGCACTCCATGGGCGTGTGCAGCATCCAGAGCAGCCCCCACCATGAGCACATCCTGGCCACAGGAAGGTGAGGCAGGGCATCTGGTCCTAGAGAGGGTGGCAGGCCCCCAGGGTTGTGCTGCCCTGATGGGGTCTGTGGCTGTTCTAGCTATGATGAGCACATTCTGCTGTGGGACACACGTCTGATGACACGCCCGTTGGCTGACACCCCTGTGCAGGGCGGTGTGTGGCGTCTCAAGTGGCACCCTCTGCACCCCCACCTGCTGCTGGCAGCCTGCATGCACGGTGGCTTCAGGGTCCTCAACTGCCAGAAGGTGACAGGTGAGTGGGGCCACCCAGGCAGGGCTGCTGCCCAACAGGACCTCTGGCTGGCTTTGTGTGCTGCATCTCAGGAGTCCCTGGCCACAAAGGCCTGCTGTGATCGCTGGCCCAGGGAGACATGGCTGCGTGTGGCTGGGTCGGGGGGTGGGCTATTGCTGGGCAGGGAGGAGCTCTGGTGAACATGTCCCTGTGTCTTCCGTTATTTAGAGGAGCAGCAGGACACTTGCACAATCATGGTGTCCCATACAAAACAGAACTCACTGACATATGGTGCCGACTGGTCCTGCCTATCCCCCTCGGTGTCCTTCCACCATGATGTGAATGCCACGTCCACAGATGCTGTGCACAGCCTCAAGTTCCCTGACACATCAGCGACCACCCCTTCAGATCGTGGGGGAGACAGAGACACGGTGGGGCTCACCCCACAAACCAAGTCCCTGCTAGTGGTAGGGGCCAAGTGCCACAACTGTGACCCCACCCTGTACAGGGAAGACACAGACACCAGCCTTCTTGCCACATGTGAGTTTTATGACCACGCGCTTCACCTCTGGAGGTGGGATGTCAGCTCAACTAGGGGAGCTGACTGACCTCTCATGCTCCTCCCCAAATAAAGGCCCTTTCCACAATGCACTTCAGTGTCGTGCCTTGTCCCCACGTCAGCTCATCAGGAGGGCCCTCACCATCTGAGCGTCTTCCGCAGTGGGGCTCCTGAGGTGGGTAGAAGTGGCTGCCAGAAGGGGTGTCCTTGTCCTGGCCTGCTAGACCCTGGCCCCAAAGGGAACAGTTTCCCGCGTGGATGGCAACACTGTCTTTTACCATCACACAGGTCACTCCAAGCAGACCATACACAGGGTCACTTCCAGGGTCTTGGCTCCCCAGGCCCTGGGCAGACAGTACACTTAGCCACCTCAGGGCACCATAGCTGTGAAACAATACAAACAGTGCAGATGAACCACACTTCTTCACTGTGGCCCTGAAAACCAAGGAGATCTCCAAGTCCAGGCCCAGTAATGACTGTGGAGCACAGGCCACTGGCAGATGGGACTGAGCAAAGCTTGCAGTCAGTGGGGCTGTAGTGGACAGCAGCAAAGGGACCTGTGTTCTCGAGTCACGTGCGTGTGCCAGCCTGCAGAGCAGAACCTTTCTGCAGGGGCTGCGGGTTGACTGGTGGAGAAATTCTTGTGTGGGCAGCTTCCTGTGCTCCCCCAGGAGCTGCCAAGTCTACCCTCTTTTGGAAAACAGTGACTTGTAATTCTCTCATGTGAGAATTCTCTTCTCTAAACCCTTTGTTTGCTAAGCAACACACCGCACACGGCTGCAGGAGTGCACATCTATTTCTACTTTAAAGATCTTTAATGTAACGAGTGAGGGAAGTGCCGCCCCCGCTCCGCTGGGCAATGATCACGCCCTGCAGCCTTCTTTCTTCTATCTCGGGAAATTCTTGGGGTACAGCTGGAAAAGCTTGCCTTCCTGTGTCGGCTCAAAGCCGTACTTTTCCAGGTTGTCGGGATCAAAGGTCCCTGCTTTAAAATCCTTCTCAACAGCAGGGGCGACCGCCTGTACAAAGAGCTGCTTGGCCGTCAGAGGGCTCTCTGTGCCCTCTGGGGTGCGGTAGTTTACGTAGGGCTTGAGTTTGAAGCCGGTCAGATCGGGGACCACGAACTCGGGGACCATCTCCTTAATTACCACGAACCTGCGGCCGGGCGCGTGCACGCCGGTGACCTTGGCGCCCCGGCTCTTGTAGAACGTGCGTGGGCCGCGTTTGCTGGTCCATTTGCTCATCCTGTCCGCTCCCCGGACCAGCCCGCGGGTCACTCCGGTTAGGAAGCCCATGCTGCCGCCTGTGGACGAGACCAGGTCAAACGTCCGGCAAATCAGCAGTCTGAGTGTCTTGGCGGCGGCACTCGGCCCGGAAACTCCGCCATCGTGGTCTCCTCCCCTCGCCCCCCACCAAAAGGTCAGGGCCGCCCTCCGCCCTCCCACCCCCTACAGCCTGGTCGGGCTGCGTCCCCAGGAACTCGGGGCTCGAGTGGCCCTCGCCCCAGGGGTTGTGCTTACCTCCTCGGCCCTGCGGGAAGCCGATCCAGCGACCCCCGAGCCAACGGCGCTCCACTTCCGGCCGCGCGGCCCACGCTGCAGCATCCGTATCTCCGATTGGCTGTTGCCGCTGCCAATGTGCTACCGTTGCTGACTCGGCCAATAGGACGGGAGATCCGGGTCAAGGGGCGGTACCGGCGCTGACAGGTGAGACATGGGGCGTAGGGCTAGTTGCCACGCTTTGGCCCCTTCTGGCCCCACCGTGGGTTCCCAGATCTTAGTTCCCTGGCTCTTCAGTTCCCGCTGGACACTAGATGCCTGGCGATTGCTGCTCCAGTCATCCCGGCAGGGTTGACTGTGACCCCGCCTCTGACCTCATGGCCCTTCTGCGGGTTCAGCGGGATCTGGTTGTGGCTTGCTGCCTTCCTGAGTACTGACTCCCACTCTCCTGCCCCGAGAACCTGCTTCGCAGATACCAAGATCCTTCTCCCTAGTGCCCTGTCCACAGCGTCTTGATTCCCCCAAGGTCCTGCCTCCCTAGGTTCTTCTCTCGTGAACGCTAGGGTCCTTCCACCCTGTGACTTGACCCCTCAAATACTTCTTTCTGTGTGGTTATCTCCAAGGTCCTTTGCTCCAATATTCTGGGCCCCCGTGGCCTGACCTGTAGTGTCTTGACCGCTCCCCCAAGATCCTGACTCCACAAGGCCGAGTGACTTGACCTCAAAAGTATCTGACTCAAAAAAAAAGTATCTGACTCCCAAGGTCCTGACTCTCAGTGTCCTGACCGCCCAGTGTTTGCCGTCCCAGTGCCCTACCCCCAATGTCCTTTCCACCAGTGGCCTGTCCCCTAGTGTCCTCTACCCCAGTGTCCTGTCTGTCAGTATCCTGATCCCCAGTGTCCTGTCTCTAGTATCCTGACCCCTAGTGTCCTGTCCCCCAGTGTCATCTCTCCAAGTGTCCTGCCTTATGTGATTCTGGCCTGTAGGACCTTCCCCCAGGATCCTGTCCACTGGTGACCCCAGCCGATCAGGAGATCAAGCTTAGAGCTGAGGGCACGGCATGGACAGCAAGGGTGTGGCCCAAGCCTGGGCAGGGAGGGTGCACATAATCACCAGCATGACCCCCAGGTGGTCCAGACCCCTGCTGCTATCCCAAGCCTGGCCAGAGCTCTCCCCAAGAGACCAGTGATGCTGAGAGTGGAGAGGGTGGGCTGTGTGGTCATTTGGGGTGGCCACCCATTCCTCCTTTGTCAGTGGCACATCATGACACAGGTAGAATCGGGTCACACTGGTCAGGACAGCAGACAAGAGCCTTTGCCATCACAGCTGCCCACTGACCTGCAGGTCCAGCATCCCTTGGCGGATGCTCATCTAACCTGCACCTTACCCACTGTGGGCTGTGCCCATTGGGTAGCATGACTGGGCTGTTTGCAGAGGGGACAAATACTCTTCAGATTGTCTTTCAGCAAAAACTGAATGTGACAACAAGGACTCAGGACCTGCTGGCAGCGACCCCTCCCACAGCTGGTCAATCCGATGGTCAACATTGGGTGTAGCCATGGAGGACACCATCCATGCATGCCCTGAGGTAGGTAAGTGGGGACCCTCTGGGCAGAAGTCCTGCTCTGCCCAGGCAGTGCTTCTGGAGCGCCTTGTCAAAGCTGAGGCACTTTATGAACCCCTGGCTCCTCATTGCTTATGCCCACGTGGCCACTGGACATGGGAGGCCTGCGTTCTCCTGCAGGCCCCTCCCTGTGCCCTTTTCTGTCAGACAGCTCAGATGAGTGGGAGCAAGAGTGACCCCACACGCCCTGCTCGTCTGGTCTTTCCCAGCTTGCCCCTGTTGGGTGTGGCCATGATGTGCTTCTCCAGGTAGACTGGTAGGTCCTGGGCACTGGAAAAGGAACAGTGTGTGTACCAGGTGAGCCCTCGAGGCTGGCAGAGATGACCTAGGAGGTCTGCCACAACAACTTTTACACAGGCTCACACTGGGTGGATGGGACATCCACACTGCTGCCCACATGCTTTCTGTCCCACGGGCTCTGCTGGGCTCAGGTTCTGTTCTCTGGAGGGAGGGAAGCTGCTGACCTCTTACTAGAGTCTCCCAGAAGGACCCACAAATGCCCTGTCTGTTCAGCCAGGCACCGGGGAGGCTGTTTTGGCAGTGGAGGCAGCAAGGTACTGGGTGCTCTCAGGGAGCTTGGCTCTTCTATCTTGGGAACTAGAGCTTCCCCACCTGCCCACTGTTGGGAGCGTGGGACTTGGCACACAGCCCCTCTGGTGCCTGTGTGGGTGGTGTGTGAGCTGCTGTTTGTGCCCCTGTCATCCCATGCTCAATGGTCAGGCTGCTTGTATAGCCCTGGGGTCCCAAAGGTCCCCTGCCTAGGTGTCTTGTGCATCTGATCTTAAGTGGGAGGGGGCTGCTTCAGGCAACTCTCAGTGTGTGGGCTCAGCAACCTCCACACGACATTCTTCCTAGGTGTCTTGGAGTCACAGACTCCTTTCCTGCTGCCCCATGTGTTCTTACTGCCTCTGAGCTGGGTCACAGAGATGGCACCAGAGTGGTTGAGGTCAGCAGAGGCACAGTAGTGGGCTGGCAGATGCCACCAGGGTGGGCCATCAAGACAGCCTTCATGGGACTCAGTGACGGGCATCATTTTCCATCACTTCTCCCAGTCAGGGTTGAGGTGGTTGCAGGGTCAAGGAGGGTCTGAGCTCTGCTGGTGGAGAGGGATGGATGGGCAACCTTGGGAGGGAGATCAGGACTGGAAGTCTGAGCCTTCAGGTCTGAAGGCCAGCTCCACCCACCCTTAGAGGTGTGTGGCACCACTTGTCACCAACTGGTGACATTAACTCTAGTGTTAGCCTTGGCCAGTAAAATCCTGACTTACCTGGTGCTCACCCCACCCTGCCTGGTCTTCCCTCATTCTCCCTTTACTCTTCCTCTCCTGCTCTCTTACAGGGGACCTTCTGTCTGGATTCCGCCCTGCACTCCTGGGGCCTGTACCTCATGGCAGAGTGGGCACAGTCAACTATGGTGAGCCCTGGGGCGTGGAGACTGAATGGTGGTCCTGCTGCACCCTTGCCCTCCTCCTGGGGGTGTATGGGCATTCCCTGCTGTGTCTGGCTGACCTGTGCTCAACCGTGACCTCTGGCACAGCTCATCGGGCTCGTGATGGGAGCCACTCTGGTCCTTCTTGGCTGCATCATCTTCCTCGCATACCGAAGGGTGACTGGGTCTCGTGAGTGTCTCAGAATGCCTCTGTCTTGTGTGGTGGAGGAAGGCTTGGGGCCACTGTCTGGTGATGATATTCATTCCTGGGGTCTGCTGGCCTATCCTGGAAAGCAGTGTCTCCCTGGCTCAGGGTGATGCACTAGGGAGGAGGACCAGAGCTGATGTGTGTTTGAGGCCTGGAAGTGCCCTTGGAATCAGGTGCTGTGCTAGGAGCCAGGTCCCCTTGGAGCAGGGTCCTTTCAGAGTTGGGTGCTGTGCTTGGAGCAGGGTCCTCTCAGTGCTGCGTCTTGTCCATTAACAGCCTAGCCCTCATGAGGGGAGGAGGTCTGAGTGGCATCAGGTGGTCTACTGTGGCTTGAATGCTGACCGAGGCCTGAATGGACTCTGTTCAGGCTTGGCACTCTCTTTCAGGGGAGCTGCAGCCCACCACCCCACAGTATAGGTTTCGCAAGAGGGACAAGGTGATGTTCTATGGCCGAAAGATCATGAGGAAGGTAACCAGCTGAGGGGGCGGCTCAGAGAGGGTTCCAGATGTACCAGCACATGGTGACTGATGAACCTGTCTATTCTTCAGTTTATAGACCCAAGCTGGCCCTTCAGGGGTGGGTGCTACGAGCTGGTAACTGCATGCTCCTAGGAGCCCCTGCTTCTGACATGAGAGAGGGTCCTGATGGGCCTATCAGCTGAGCAGTGGGCAAGAAGGGTCCTCATCCCCCTGAGTCCTGCCTCTGACAGAACAGAGACTGGGGTCTCTACCAGATTAGGGATGAGCTGTGGCAGAGGGCAGGCTTTTGCTGGAGTCTTGCTGACCTTGAGTCAGTAGATGTAGGTTGGGTCTGAGAAGAGAGGCAGAAGCCTCTGGCCAGGCTTTCTTCTGTCCCCCTCTCTAGATGCAGGAGGCCATGCTGCTGAGAGCAACCTGGCATGCTGCTCAGGGCATGTGAGTTATCAGAGACCACTTTACCTCATGCTGTTTCCAGATCAGTTTCTTGTACTTTCTGGGAGCAGGAGAGGATGAACAATCTCCCCTGATGCAGTCTCCTGCCTCTGAAACCTGCTAGGAGTCAGCTGTGGGTCAGCCTGATTTGGTGGCATACACGGTAACAGTTTCTGGAAGAGCCTTAGCTGTCAGGGAGGAAGGCTGGAGCCCTTGTGGACAGCTGTGCTGGCCCCAGGGCTGTGCATTTCTTGCTCTTGACAGTTTGGGTCCGGCAGTCTTCCTGGTACCCCTCTGTCCTGCAGGTGACCACTCTTCCCAGCACACTTGTGGGGAGCAGTGCTGCACCCCGACAGCGAATGAGGAAGCGGACCAAGGTGTTGTCCCTGGCCAGAAGGTACTGGACCTTTCCCTCCAGACCCACAGCTGCCCCCCATGAGGGCGCCGCCTCAGGATTGCACCCAGGTGGGCGGCCTCGGGGCAGGAATAGCACAGAGCCACGGCTCGGGCCCTTTGCAGCCCTCAGTACCAATGCCGTTTCTTTGGAGGATCCTGCGTTTCAAGAAGGACTACCCTGCGCTGCAGCCCAAGGAGCCCCCACCGTCCCTGCTGGAGGCTGACCTCACCGCCTCTGACCTCAAGAACTCGCACCTGCCCTCAGAGGTCCTGTACATGCTGAAGAATGTCCGGTGAGGAGCAGACAGGCATGGCACACAGCTGGAGGTGGGCTGCCCTTCCCCTGCCTCGCTGGAGAGTGTCGATGGCTTGTGTTCTTCCAGGGTCCTGGGCCATTTTGAGAAGCCACTGTTTCTGGAGCTCTGCAAGCACATGGTGTTTGTGCAGCTGCGCCAGGGCGAGTATGCATTCCAGCCGGGGCAACCAGATGATAGCGTGTACGTGGTGCAGGATGGGCGGCTGGAGGTCTGCATCCAGGACCCGGTGAGACTTCTGCAGAGACGGATGCACATGCTCTGGGGGCTGGAGCGGGTGATTTTCCAGAGAGGCCAGTCTTGACCCGCTCTTCAGCGTGTTCCTTCGGGAATATTCTAACACAGCTGTCTAAGAGACTGCATGCCATCCTTCCCTTTTCTGCACAGATGTGCAGGGTAGCCTCGAGTCGAAGGGCTCGTGGTGGTGTGTGTGGTTTTATTTCCGCTTTTTTGCTATGTAATAAATTTTAGCACCCTCACACATACCCTTCCACAGGGTCTGCCAGGTCACCTGAGCCCTCCCTTCAGGTTGTGCCAATAATGACCTTAGTTCTAAAAAGAGAACTTGGGAGGCATCTCCAGGAAGTTGTGTCTCTCTCTTAGGTGACCTCAGCCACAGCTGGTAGGGGGCCAGTGTCCAGGTCTTCTGGGCATGCTGCTTCCCAGAGTGGTTGTGACCACCTGTCACTGGTCTTCAGTGATCTTTGGCTTACTGCTGTGGCATTTGTGTCCACCCTTGTCCTGGGAAAGGTCACAGAAAGGAGCTTTGTGGGTAGAGTTTTGATCATCACCTTTTGACTCAGTAGCAGGGAGCTTGGTGGAGTTAGCCAGCAGAGGCCCCTGTCCAGGAGGAATGCAGAAACCATGAGTCTGGGGGACTTGAGACCAGCTGGGTCCCGAAACTGGCACCACCTCTTGGCCTTGTACATGCATCTCACCCATGCATAGCACCTGGGACATTCCCACACAGAGCTCTCTTGAGGAACATCTGGCAGAAGTCTCCAAACCAGGACAGAGATGTGTCTCTGGATCTGGTAGAAGGCTGTAGAAACACTGTTACTTATGCTGGTAACAGAACTGGTGCAAAGCCAGAACTTTAATCCGAGTTCTCCTGACCAAGGGCCCACTGTGGGCTGGACTCTGGCTGGTGGTTGGGTCTGTCGGTGCCTGTGGTTCACCCTGGTGCCTTCTCTAGCACCCCTCGGGTGCCTCAGCTCCTGTTAGGTGGGTGAGGTCCCCTCAGAGCTGTCCCTGGCGATGGTCAGCTGGAAGGCTTTGCTGTCTAGGGTGCCTGGGTTGATCTTGGGCAGGTGAACAGATGGCACCTTCTGTTATCCAAGCACAGGACTCCGCTGAGGTGGTGGTCAAGGAGGTCCTAGCAGGAGACAGTGTCCACAGCCTCCTCAGCATCCTGGACATTATCACTGTGAGTACTGCCGGGCCCTGTATCCAACCCCCAGACCTCTGGGCTCTTTGTGCCTGAGTGGCAGGTCCCTTATGGTGACCCAGTCAGGCTTCTTTCAGCAACAGAAGTTGAGAAGGGTATGCAGGGGCAACCTGGGCAACCTGGACAGTCCAGAAGAGCTGGGTGTAAGCAGCCTGGTAAATGGTTCTTTTCAAGCTGGGTAATGCATGCACCTGGGAAAAGATGAGGGTGGCATCATGGAAAACACTGAATTGGGGCTGGAGAAGAGCTGCTCCCAGCGGCCACGTGCTGTGTGGGCGGGGGCTGTGAGGGGCTGTCCCCACCAAGGAGTGACCCTCCTCAGCGAGAGGATACCTGACAGGACTAGTCTTCCTGAAAGACATTGTTTCTGCCTAAAGTAACACTTAAAATTTAAATTATTATGAAAATAATGCAGGCAAACTCCTAGTGTCTTATCCCCTAGTGTCCTCTGTCCCAGTGTCATCACCCACCCAAGGGGAACCACCGTCAATTCTGCTGGTGCCTTTGAGCAACATCTTCACCTTTAGGGGGTCCTCTGAAGGTTTTCCATTCTGGGACAGAAAGCTCAGCTCACCTTGCCTTGCCTCTCCCCTTCCCTCCCATCCTCCCCTCCCCTGTTCCCTCCCCTTCTCTCTTCTCCCAAGTCCCCTCTCCCCTCCTGTCCCCTTCCCTCCCTTGTACCCTCCTTTGTCCCCTCCCTTGTCCTGCTCCCCTCCCTTGCCTCTCCCTTTCCCTCTCCACATCCTTCCCCTCCCTTCGCCTGTCCCCTCTCCTCCCCTCTCTCCTCTCCCCTGTCCCCCTCCTTCCCCTCTCCTCCCCCCTCTCCCCTGTCCCCTCTCCTCCTCTCTCCTGTTCCCTCCCCCTCCATGTTTCCTCCCCTCTCCTACCTTGTCTTTCCTATCCCTCCCACTCCCCTTCTCTCCCTCCTCTGCTTCTCCTGTCCCCTCTTTCCTCCTCCCCTCCCCTGTCCTCTTCTCTCTCCCCTCGGCTCCTTTTTCCCTTCCCCTGCCCTCCCCCTTCTCTGTTTCCCCCCTTCCATTTTCTCTTTTTTTAAAATTAATATTTTAACTAAATTTCACACATAACTTGGATTTCAATTCATTCATTGTTGCACATTTTCCTCTCTACCCCTTCAGTTCACTTTTCTCTTTAAAAAGATTATTTCATTGTTGCAGTTTCCTTCCTCCATCCCACCCCATTTGCTGTGCACCTGCATCCCCTCTCTTGCTTCTCCTCTCTCCTCCCCTCCCCGTGCCTCTCCTGTCCCCTCCTTTCCCTTATCCCCTCCCCTTTTCTCCTCTCCCCTGCCTCCTCTGTCAGAGTTGGACACATCCAATATTCTGTGCTGGCTATTTTTCCATGTAGAGTTCTGACTCAGAGCTCACCTTTCTCTCACCCTTGCTTGACCTCCCCAGGACTGCCATCCCCTCTCACCCCAGCATCTCCTGCCTGCTGTCTTTGGGGCCTTTTGCCTCTGGTTTCCTCTTTCTTGGTCTGCTTGCTGGGTAAGCAGATCCTCTGCCAGCTTCCTGAGAAAGGGTCCAAAGGAGATTGATTTTTTTAAAACCTTAAAAAATTTAGAATTATCTTTAAGAAAATAAGTCTCAAATCAATGATCTAAACATTTATTAAAAGTCTCTAATACCAGCAGCCAGGAAATTAAAAGACAAATTGCATTGGGAAAGTCTACGGTCAGAGAAGTCTCTGACAGGACTAAGGTCTCTTCAAAGTACTGAAGAGCAACAATGTCAGTCTGGAGAATAAGGTGCGCCTGATACAGGCCATGGTCTTTTCAATTACTTGCTATGCATCAGAGAGCTGGACAGTGACTAGGGATGATAGAAGGAGAGTTGATACCTTTGAGCTGTAGAAGAGTATTGAATATACCATGAATATACCATGAACTGCTAGGAGAACAAACAAGTTCATCCTGGAGAGGATGAAGCCAGGCTGCTCCTTGGAGGCAAGGATTCTGAAGCTTCGTCTGACAAACTTTAGGCGTGTTGCAAGGCAGGATCAGTCCTTGGAGAGCGATGTCATGCTTGGGAGGGTGGAGAGACAGCACAAGAGAGAAAGACCCTTGATAAGATGGATTGATTCAGTCACTGGGTATTGGGGATAGATGTCTTGGAGACAGTAAGATTAGCAAGTGATAGAGCAGGGTTTAGGGCTGTTGTACATAGGGTCACTGTGAGTCACAGGTAACATGATGGCACATAACAACAACAACAATTGTCTTTTTAGCGAAGGTTTACAGTGCTGGTTATTGTGTGCCATGCAGCCGGAGCTGACCCAGAGCTGACGCTCCAGTGGGTCTTCAGAGGCAGTAAATTGCACCAGAGGAAATGACCCACCTTTCCCACAGTGCAGCTGGCAGATTTGAACTGCGTGCCTTTGCGTTGGCAGCACCGTTCCTTGTCCACAAGGCCACTCGAGTAGCTTTGGTTTTCATTTAGTGTCTGTTCCACAAGCTCTGCAGTGTGGGAACACTGCCTCATTTAAGGCTCTGTTGGTTCTGTTTCTACTGTGACAGTTCCATCCCTACATTCTCATCTTTGCTTTAGAGGAACTACTGACCACTCTGTAGGTCTTATAGATGATTTTTTAAAAATAATTTTTGTTTTGACTTAAATGAGAGTTTACAGAAGGGTCAGGTTTTCATTCATTCATTGCACGTTTTCTTCCCCTCTTCCTTCTCCCTCCCCCAGTCCACTTTGCAGTTCTCCTCTTCTTCCAGATTGTTGTCATACAAATAATGCCTAATTGTACATTTCTTTCAGACAGTTCTTTCCCTCTTCTTTTCCAATGGAGTGCTCATTATCTATCCACTCTTTTCTCGTTCTCTCCCCAACACCCTCATATCTGTCCCATTTTGTAACAGCAGTATTATGCAGTATTTGTCCTTTTGTGACCAAGATATTTCATTCACCATGTCTTCAAGGTTCCCTCATGTTGTGTAATGTCTTATAAGTTGATTGTTTTTCATTGCTGCATGGTATTCCATCATGTGACTATACCATAGTTTTTTGATCCATTGATAGGCACTTGAGTTGCTTCCATTGCTTTGTTATTGTGAATAATGCAGAAATAAACATGGATATCCGTAAATCTGTTTGAGTCATGGCTCTGGTTTCTTTAGGGTATAGTCCCACTAGTGGAATTGCTGGTCAAATGCTATTTCTCATTCCGATTTTTTGAGAAAGTGCCAGACTACTTTCCATATGCCTGTACTATTTTACATTTCCATCAGCACAGTGAATAAGAGTTGTAGTCTTTCCACACCTTGCCAGAATTTGTTGTTTGCTGGCCTGTTGAACTTTGCTATTGTTACTAGGGTGAAGATATTTCATAGTTATTTTTTACGTGATGCTTTTAAAAAGAACACAGTGTTTATGGATATTTATGAACCAAAATATGACTTTGGGTCTATCCCACCCGAATTTTAGAACCATCTCAGGAACAGGTTGAGGCCTTGAACACTAGTAAGTGAAGACCAGATGAGTTGTGGGAGGATATCAAGGGTATCATCCATGAAGAGTGCAAACGTTCATTACAAAGACAGAAGAGGAAGAAAAGACCAAAATGGATGTCAGAAGAAACTCTGAATATTGCACTGGAACACAGAGAAGCCAAAGCACAAGGAAGAATTTAAGATACTAAAGAGCTAAACAGAAGACTTCAAAAGGCAGCATGGAATGAAAAAAATAAAATATTACAATGAAATGTGCATGGAGCTAGAGTCGGAAAATCAAATGGCCGAACTCACTCAGCATTTCTTAAGCTCAAGGAACTGAAGAACAAATTCAAAACTCAAGTTGCTATAATCAAGGATGCTTTAGGCAGAATATTAAGTGTTCCAGAAAGTATTAAAAGAAGATGGAAAGAATATACTGAGTCACTGTATCGAAAGGAATTGGCAGACACAGAAGAATTTCATGAAACAACTTATGAGCAAGAGCCTATGGTGGGGAATGGCAAAGGACACACTGACAAAGAAGATTAATCAGAACTGGCTTTGACAAGCACTGTGGCATTTGGATAAGAACAAACTGGGAGGAGGGTAGAGAGAATAGTGCAACAATGAATGAATGGAAACCCAAAATCTCTGTAAATGTTTATGAAAATTAATAAAATATA